TATGGATTTGTCTAGCCTACCAGGTCAATGGGTTGTCTAGTGGCTAGGCAGACAAATAACGATTGGCTTGATGCAACTGCTGAGCTAATCCTAAACACAGATCACGCTGACTGTCACTTGGATTCAATGCTGACATCATGCCATTATGTAGTATAATTAAGGTTTCTAGCAAGTGTTTTCCATTATTTGTACATAAATCAGTGACTTTGTGCAATTTTCATTTATTTTTACAACAGTGTTTTTGGTTTCTGTAAAATCTTACAACATCACTGTCGATGCCTGTGGGTAAACTGTATGTCTATTATAATTATGTACATGAGTATGGAGGTCATAATTATACCAGTAGACATTTTGGAAGATATTTCTTAGATGTCTGGTCACAGCATTTAAGAAAAAAAAAGATATCCTCTGCTTTGCAGACACTAACAATTAGTTATTTACTAAAGTGCCCGAGCTGCTTTCATAGACTCAGCCTGGAACAAGCTATTTGTAAAACAATGTGAAAGCAATTGGAAGGACGGTTTCTTTACATTTTCTACATTTTTCAGGGTGAGTATATGATGGCCCATATTCTAAACCCATTAATTTTTTTTTTTCATTTTTATTTTAAATTAAAAACTGTATTTAAAAGTTGACAATCAGGAAACGAACACACATAGCAAGGGCACAAAGAGGCAGCATCTTAGGAATGTATACAGCAATATACAATGAGATAACAGGTATATATTTATAGAACACATTTGGAAGTATATAAGATATCTGATTTAACAACAAAACCCCAAATCCTTTCATGCAATTTCAGAATTACACACTGTATATGCACTGCATTAGAGGACCACTATAGTGCCAGGAAAACAAACTTGTTTTCCTGGCACTATACGGTCTTTGGGTCATCCCCTCCCGCTGGGTTCAAGAGGTGTTAAACTCTCCTCCCTCTTCCGATGTCATCCGCCGAATGCGCATGCGCGGCAAGAGCCGCGCGCGCATTCAATCAGTCCATAGAGAAGCATTTCTCAATGCTTTCCTATGGACGGCAGCGTCTTCACACTGGGATTTTCACAGTGAGAAGCGCCTCTAGTGGCTGTCAATGAGACAGCCACTAGAGGCTGGATTAACCCATTTGTAAACATAGCAGTTTCTCTGAAACTGCTATGTTTACAGCTGCAGGGTTAACTCTAGATGGACCTGGCACCCAGACCACTTCATTGAGCTTTGAAAAACCAAAAATTTTTAAAAAAAACCTTACCATTTTCCCTAACTGGAATTGCATATTTGCATGAATTATAGCGATACCCATCTCATATTTTATGCTAAACCCATTTTAAAATCACAAGATTTAAATAAAATAAGTGTTAATAGGTCTCACAACCACTAGACTAAGAATTAAGGAAATTGATGAAGGAAAAGCGAATTTTAGCCCAAAAGGTTTCAAAATGGCGTAAAAGCTTAAGGAAACATTATTTTCCATTTTGGTTATTTACCTGTAAAATTTGCATTTGCATTGGCAACTCTCTACATGTCTCAGTTAAGCAAATAATCACACTTATATGATTTAAGTGACACAATTTAAATCACATTTGGTGTTGCTGCTTTAGTGAATTTATGTGTCATACAATAGGACACATTAAAAGGTTTATCATTAACTGCTTCTAGAATGCAAATGTATCCATGGACTACAGAATAAATTATTTTTAATAGAACACAGTGGTAACCTTTTCACAGATTCTGGGATCTCAACGTGCTCCTTGAAAACAGCATTTGCAGATGTCTATAGAACACTTTTGAGCAGATCACTTCCGATATATCCATCACTGTTTATCTCACTCATTTCTTTTGTAGTCCCTGCAACAGTTTGGAGATAAAAACCTTGATAAATGAATCACAGGTAATTGAATTCAACCCATGGTGTCAAAATATCAGCCAGGTTTATGTGACAGTAAGAGAATATCTTTCACGAAAATGTCAAACTGTGTTCTGGATTATTTTATGTAAAATGTATTTATCACTGTTTCATCTCTAAATTTCTCAGTCTGCGGGAGAATTTGGAGATAAAATTAGTGATATATTTGTCACAGGTAACAACAACCAACGTCCCTCTGTGTGTATTAAAGACAAATATAACTCTTAAACAATGTGTGTCACTTTAGATATCAGTGTATCATTTATTTATTTATTTGGTGTACATGATTTTACATTTAGAATAATTCAATCCTGTTTTTTTCATCAGGGATAATACATGCTAATAGACCAGTTGTGTATTATTATTATTATTATTATTATTATTATTTATAAAGTGCCAACAAATTCTGCAGCGCTGTACAATGGGTGGACTAACAGACACATATTTATAACCAGACGAGTTGGACACACACAGGAACAGAGCGATTGAGGGCCCTGCATAATGAGCTTACATGCTAGAGGGGTGGGGTATAGTGACACAAAAGGTAAGGGTAGGGTAGAAAGGTAGGTTGCTAGGATAGTATTCACTGAGGGCTTAATGTTTTGTTTTGTAAGTGAGTCTACTATAGACCTTGCACCAAGCCCCCTAAAATATCCACCAATTGCTGATCACTAGCAAAGACCATCAAACAGAGCTCTCTCACAATCCAACACTGCAGTGTTTTTAAAATGATGTCACATGATGTCATAACAAATGCAATTGCAATTAGGTATTTACAGAGAAACATCATAGTCAACAGCACTGTACAATAGATAAACAAGACAAACAAATAGTTCAGACAAAACATGTTTGAGATAAAGGAACAGTATGTGAAGAAAGCCCTTCCCATATGAGCTTACAATCTAGCCTTGTGAGCATAGTATTACAAAGACCCTGCATTTAATCTCAGGCCATGGAACAGCCCCAAATCCCTGAATGAGATATGTGCAGGACATGGATGGCATTGGTGATCTCACAGCACATTTTTCCATGTAGTTATATATGTTACACTACTACAAATCACTTTTGTGTCTTTTACACCCAGACAGTCCGAAGGAAAGACTAAAATGTAGGGAAGTCAGCATTAACCATCAAACTGAGAAATAGAAGAATTGAATAAATACCAAAATAAGAAACATGCAATTTATCTGTTTATATGTATTATTGTCTGTCACTGTTTGTGTGTCAGACTCACTTGATTCACTACTGATAAGATAGTGACAGAAGCCTGTCATGCGCTATATGTTTCAGGGTACAGTTGTGTGTATACTGCTAGATAAGGGCCATGTGGGGAGATTGTAAGATTTTTTATTTTTTTTTGGACTGGCATTGTCTTGTGAGGAAGCACTGTTTTTTTCTGCAGGGATGATTGCTGGTAATATGGCGTGGTGTTTGTGCTAAATATATTGGTGGGGATGTGCTCTGGAAATGCAGCAGTTGAAAAGAGAAAAGGATCAGAGAATTTAAGGTGGAATAATGTAGACTTCAATAGGACTTATAGCTGCGCTGTCTGTCCAAAAAAATTAGCAGTTCATGAAGATAGAATCTTAATGAAATACTCATATATTGACTCTGTTGGAATTTCACTAATATTCCAACTGAGTCAAGATATATACTTAGACAATATAGGGACTACTTTGTCTCTGTGTATTTCCTATGCCTGACACTTCTAAACCCAATGGGCAGAGCTACTGTCTCCACGGCCGTCACCAGTTACAGCTGCAGGTAATTGGCTCTGCTCTGTCTATGGAGGATCCAATGGTCTCGAGGGAAACTCCATAGACCTCAATGCTGTACTTTTGAGCGAGAGTACACATGCGCGAGAGTACAGCTTTGACGTTGGCTCCTAGAAAGCTGAAGGAAGATGGTGGTGACTGCAAGGGACTGGCTCAGATAAATAGAACTCACCTTTACCTGTCCCCCCCCCCCCCAGGTCACCACCTAGCAGGGATGTCACTATTGGTGGTCTTTGCAAATTCTGCTGCTTTAATACATAAGTTAACATTCACTATGCTATAGGACCAAAATCTTATTTCATGTATTAAGTCCAATTAAATTCTGCATTATTCCACCTTGAATTCTGGGATCCTTTTCTCATTTTGGGTTGTATAAAACTCAGAAAACGTTGGCCGTGACTGCCTGATTCTTTATTAATGGTGTTTTGATATTCTAATATTTGAGAATCCCTACATTGGCGATTTAATAAAATACCCACGAGAAGAGCAAGAAACAGTACGTGAATAAAAACTTCAGGACTCCCCTCACCTGCTGGGGTACATTAAAACCACTGGAAACTGTCACACAAGCAGCAGTGTTAACGGTGGGAATATAGAGAATATAGAAAGTAAAAAGGACCTATCCACTGTGCTAATAGGACCAGAATATATAAATTAGGTATTAATACAGTGGTTTGCACAGTTTAACATTTCACATCATAAAACAAACCTTCTAGTAAAATGTGGAAGTAACTTCTGCAAAGAGCCACCTAGTGATATCATAGGAGATGTACAAGAAATTATTAAATTATTTCTATCTATCTATCTATCTATCTATCTATCTATCTATCTATCTATCTATCCTTCTATCTATTCTATCTGTCTGTCAGGACATTGCTGATTTCCCAGGGTGACATGTTCTTGTCATGTAGTTTGAGCTACACTGCTGCAAGTTCTCAACATTTGAGGCAATGTTACCTGACATTTTGCCATGACAGTTACCCTATCATTATTACCCCCAGCACTTCCTGCAATTCTTGCATGCGTAATGCTCTCATATGTTTTATTCTCTGCATTAACACTGTAAACACTATTTAGGTGAAGTTCTCTTTAAACCAATTAAAAAATAAATAAATAATATATTTTTGTTATTAGAATAATCCTATAGCCAATTAAATAGTTAATATTTTCACATTAGTAACCAAGCATTTTTAATGCATCATTTGTGCACCCTGTCCTGTCTCCAATGAAAAACAATAATTGCTATTCTTTGCTGCAAGGTGTGACATTAGACATTATCTGCTTAATCCCTTTTTCCTAAAGTAAAACAAATAAAAAAAACTTGCATTCTATGTAGGTTTTTTTTTTTTTTTAATTTTTATTTGTTTCAGAGAAAAAGCATTGCCCATTGATAGAACCAGCACCTGAGACCCCCACCTCCTCCTCCCCCCCGCGGAGGGATACAGGTTTAATGCTCTATTTCCTTTTGCTCTGAAACTGGAGCGGCTAAAGGATTAGGAGCACAAAAACAGAATGAGTTAAGTAGAAAAATGAGGTCTGGGAGGCTTTGCTGGGTGGGAAGCTCCCTGCTTGTGAGTGACTGCAGCTGCAGCCTATGGGGAGCTACCTAGCAGCAAGCCAGGGGCTGGTTCTTTCTCCCCATTGGTTGCCTTGGCCAGCACTGCTTCTGACTACAGAACTGCTTCTGACATTGAGTAGTGAGGCAGCGTAAGAGGCACACACACACATGCACAAGGGAGATATTCCCAGCCACGTAAGTACAACACCATAGAAGATGATGTCTTGCTGAAAGGGATAGGCCCTAGCCATCCCTTTTTATCTCTCTTTCCTCTCCCTTCTACCTCTACAAAAATAACATTTCTCCTTATATATAAATTATATATATAAAAATATAAATCTATATTTTTCTTGTAATTTTTTTTTTCTTTTTGGAAAGAGAGAGAGAGACATATTGTTTTTTGCAAGGCTATCATCTCAAACCCCAGACACAAAGCACCCAATCTAAGAAGATCTGATTTTTCTGCATCTTTTGATCTTTGCAATTTTATGATACACCTTCTTCCTTGGAGTTTACATTGTGAAGAACATCCCATCGTGCTGTGGACACAATTGATCTGCTGTCCTCGATTGAACTTTCCTATGTGATTATAAACCGCAGTCTTTTAGCACGTTTGCTATTGTCCAGCCATCAGATTGCTGCAAGAATTTATATTTTTTCGTCTTCACAGCTTAGCTATTCTTTATTTTTTTTTTAATTTTCTTGCTAATGCTGCTATGTCCCTTTTACTTAAGACTGTGTAGAAATAGATATCCATGCCTTTGAATTTATCCTGTTTCCTCTGTTAAAGCTTCAGACGCCATCTACAGTTAACAAGAAGCCAACTTTGTTATTGTTAGCATAAAGTGGAAGGGAACCCAGGAGAATGCTACAGAAAGCAGCATAATATACAATCAAGTGGAACTTAACATTAAAAAAAAAAAAAAAGCATTATTTTTCTTGGTAAATCAAAATATTTTGGAATAAGTAATCATACAAAGGAAATATTCTTATTATTATTAACCGAAGAGGTGTCTCTATTTTTCCAAGTCAAATAGGTTTGCACAAGACCTGGATAGAACGTTCAGGTGCCAACGTTCTAAAACTTGTTACTAAGTTGCCCCAACGTTCTAATCGCACATCCAGAATTTGCAGCCACTGCCTTAGCCCATAGCCTATTGCAAAAGCTTCCTTTCTATGAAGCTAGCCTGATTCAACTTCTATTCTTCCACCTGATATTTGATCTTGCACGTTTCACCCTCATTTGTATATATATATTTTTTTTTAAAGGCACAAATTTGGTTGTATAACCCTGTAAAAAAAAAAAAAAATAAAGCACAATATCCCCCCTGTCTGCTGCCTTGTCCCCTTCAGCCTGGGCTTTGGTTGCTCTCTCTTACCCATGAACATACAAAGGTCGAACCCCATTACGATCACAAGGTATGGGAGATCGAGGAACAAAACCCAGGATTTTGAAGAGTTATCGTCCATAAGGTGTACCGAACCCAGCCAGAGCTTCAGTCCCAATCTCGGTTCCCCAAGTCCTCCAGAGACTCCTAACTCGTCGCATTGCGTTTCCTGCATTGGAAAATACTTACTGTTGGAGCCTTTGGAGGGAGATCACGTTTTTCGTGCTGTGCATCTGCATAGTGGAGAGGAGCTGCTTTGTAAGGTAAGCCTGATGATGCAAGTCTAAACATTCCATTTTCTTTGTTCTGCAAGTTAACTGTGTCTTAATAATGATAAACCCATGCTATGTTTTTTTTTGTTTTTTTTTTATTAATATTTGCCATATGTTCGATATACTCATAGAGCTACAGACATTGCATGTTGTGGAGGAGGGGCACGAGGTATGTGAATTGACTTGTGTAGAAAGGTTGAGCCAGTCTATCAAATAAAGAAGTTTTAATGTACCCAAAAAACAAAGAACTTGCAGGTGTGCATGTAACTGCTTTTACAAAGGTAAAAATGGAGATGACTGCTTTGATGTTCAGACATTTGTGCTTCAAACCTGGACACAAAGACCCTTTTTTTTTGTAGATATACCTTGTGGCTCACAAGCAAATCCTACAGACAGAATGAGCCATTGTGTGCTGGCTGCTCAATTGGCTCACTTTGCCTTTTCATGTCCTTTCATCCATTATTGCTGACTGCAATATTTGCGGTGTGTGTGTGTTTGCTTTAGTATTCACTTCATTTGACAATATTCATTTAGTAATATTTCTGGTATATGTATGTATATATATATATATATATATATATATATATATATATATATACATACATACATACACACACACACACACACACACACACACACACACACACACACTGTGCATACAGTGTTTGCTTTTTTATATATTAAATTTTGCAGATACAGTATGTTATGGCTAATAAGGAGTTACAATGCTCCAGGGCTGATCTGCATGTAGCTGTGATGCATGTAACTCCCATCATGCATATCATTCATTGAGGATAATGGGATTTGTAATCCCACACCAGAATTGACAAGAGGGGGTTATTTTGTCACTTGTTGCACTCTAGTTTTCCTGGACTTAAATTCCCATCATCTCCATCCAGGGTTATGAGTATATTGTGAGCTGTGATTCATTGTAGTTTATGTGCCATAGGTACACATCTAACAGTGGATTACAACTGCATGATGCTCATCCAGTAAAGTACAAGTATCAAATGAGTTGCAACTCAGTGGTTCTGCCCCATGTCCCATTAGGTGTTTTTGCAGTGCTCTGCTTGTTTGCATTTAAAGGGTTAACCATTGCATTTTCATTCATCATGCTTTTTTTTGTTAATTATTCAGAAGGCAACAAAAGGCATCTTGTGAAAATGCTACATCTAGACTAGTCTCCTCCATTCATTCATAAACAATGGAACTTGAATGATGTAATTGCAAACTGTAGACGGCTAAATAATTCCCAATGGATGCTGATATGGCAATCCGTTCAGTAACATTTCAATGGAATACTTTATGTAACGCTTGAAATGTATTTATAGGGATAGACTAATGTTAATCACAGGTTGTGAATGAGTCATATTTTATGGTGTTTATGAATGCCTGTCTCCTGCATATTTAGAAAGGCTTAAATAAAAGTTTGCAGAAATACGGGCTCTTGCATAAGCAACCACAGAACAACTTTAGGAGGCTCCCCCGGCTTATACGAAATGTACATATATTTTTTTTCTTCTTTACGATGGATAATAACTAAACATTGTATTACAGTTTATCTAAACGATCTGCTCTTGCTTGCTGCTTTCCATTTCAATAGATTAAGTCATTTTAATGAGATGCTTCTTATATCTGGTTACTGTAGCAGCCAAATCTTTATAAAGCGCAAACAAGTTCCATAACGTGGTACATTGTGATTGGTACACATGTTGGCATTCAGTGGCCATTATATAAAATGACCAAGGGCCTTGCTCTCTTGAGCGCGTGCGTACAAGCTTATGTATTTTTGCATACATTTACCTACTTGATACCAATATATTTTCAGTATATTTTTCCTCTTTGTAAATGTTGTTCAAGTTCTATTTGATACCGCACGGTTAACCCTTTATAGTGTGTTTAGGAAACAGTGAACTCAGCACCGTATACTGCACCCCTCCATCCTCAAAGGGCTTATGTTAACAATGCAATTTTATATGGTGGCTGAGCTGTTCCTTTACCATATGTTCTTTGTTCTATGCTAGGTGATTCATATTTGTTTCATAATTCTGAATTTGTAATGTCGAATGAATATTCTGTTTTTATTTTAAACTTCTCCTTTTGATTTGTTTTTAGGTTTTCGATATTCGCTGCTATCAGGAGTCATTAGCACCCTGTTTCTGTCTACCTTTACACAATAATATTAACCAAATAGTTGAGATAATTCTTGGAGAGTGTAAAGCCTACGTGTTCTTTGAAAAGAGCCATGGGGACATGCATTCTTTTGTTCGTACCTGCAAGAAGCTTAAGGAAGAAGAGGCTGCTAAGCTTTTTTATCAAATAGTGTCGGCTGTAGCACACTGTCACGAAGGTGGAGTGGTTCTAAGAGACCTTAAGTTACGGAAATTTGTCTTTAATGATGGAGACAGGTAAGACTGAGTGCTACATGATGTTTAAATTGATTATTTTAAATGCCCATTGAGTTTTATTCTGTCCCAGTTTACATTTTAGATTTAGGATAATTGTTTCGATTTGTGTTTTTTCATATGTCTTTTTACTTAGGGATGGATGGATAGATAGATAGATATGCGGACAGACAGAAAAATTTAATTTGTCCTGAGAAATTTTATTTTCCACCAAATTATTATCTTTGGGTCTAATATGTTGTACTGTGGTCTATTAACAAAATAGAGAATTGGAGTTAGTGGACTACTTGTGAAATATGAGCTAAAATAGTTGTATAATAAAATCCATAGCTTAAGCGAGATTTTTTTTTTAATTCTGCTATATTCACGTCAGAGTTGGTTCTTGTCTTTAAATGTATAGTATTTAAAAAAAACGAACTTACCGTAGCACAAATCACTATTTAGTTAATAAGAAAAGAATGGTCAGTCAGTTATTTTAACATCTACACGCAAGTTTTGCCCTTTTTTAAAATGTTGTTGTGTATGCTAACAAATGATGGTACTCATATGTATTCTCACATCCTGCCTATATTGTATATAAATCTCACAAAATGTATAGATGTCTGGACGTTGACTTATTAAATCCCTTTTTCTAATGTGACCATAATATTCTGTTCTGCGCCCGAATAAAACATATTTGCAATATGTTGTGAGCATTTCATTGCTTGCCTGCATGAAATGTGTCTGGGAGTTTTATCACAGATATGGGAGGATGTGAGCAGAGTCTAGTGTAGAATGTGTGGAATGCAGTGTAGTAAATTGATCTAAATGTAGGTTATAATACACTGAAAAAGCACTCAAGGCCACATTCAGGCAACACATTATCAGCATATGTGAGGGAAGCGGCCTAGAAAGTTTAATTTACCGGTTAATATATAAATAAGGTTTAGGGAAAAAAAAAAAACTAATATCTCTTTTTTTTTTTAAATAATCTAATGTCTCTAGTTTTTCTTTGAAACTTCATTGAATTTTCTACTTAGCATTTTTTAGTCACTATTGCATCCTGCAAGAATCAACTTGTCTGCCTGTGTACCATCCATATATGCAACCTTCCATCCATCAAAAAAATAATCTGAGCCAAAAATAAAAAAAGATTAAACGCAACATTTTTTTCTTTAACATAAACATCATTGATCAAGGCCCCTGTAATGTTATTGAGGCTGGCTAATAATTAGTTCAGGAAAACATTCAGAGCTTGAGGGAGACACATGTAGGTACAGTATTTATATTTAGGAATTTCACAGCTTTCGCTTCTTAAATTTTTTTTTTTTTTTTTATTATTGTGGATATTATCTGCCTGTTTTGTGAATGACTGAATATTGACGTAGATGGTTTGTGAACTGATATATCACTGAAGGTAACAGTAGCCCATATATCTGTTGCAGTGCTTTACTAATAGTTACCAAGAATCTAAATATAACATGATCTGTGTTCTCGTAAAGCAGGCCTGAAACAATAGATTTTGACGTTATCCTGGTATGTCGTTGATGAACAAAATTTAGATCTCCAGCTGTTGTAGAACTTCAAATCCTGTGATGCTTAGTCTGGCCTAATTCTAGCACAGCATTGTGGGAGTTGTATTTCCCCTGCCTTTTAGAAGCCTCTGTGTTAGATAATACCATGTGCTTCTAGGAGTGTCCCATTGTTTTAATCTTCTCAAAGCTAAAAGTCGTGCAGAAAGGGGGATGTGTAACATGAAGCACAACAGACAGAACCACAGCTGTTAGGAATGTGAAGAAAGAATTGCAGAAACCCCCTCATGCACTTCTTCCACCAGTGCAGTTGTCCATAATTTTCTATATTCTGCAATGTTGTAGCTCAGTTAATCAGCTTCTTTTTTTTTTTAGGAAACTCCTCATGACATCCAGCCCCTTTAGTCTGGGTGATATTTATAGTTTTTTGTTTTTTTTTCACACAGACTGGACCCCTACTTTAGAGTGAATTGTAGGAACATTACATACTTCCACTTCCACAGAGTAAAATAATATCCAAAATGGTTACTAGATTTGTAAGGTCACCATAAACTTGATTTTGTAAACAGGAAGTAACCTACTATCACAAAGCCCATGTGACTAGAACTGATATTTAAATAGAATTACAATCCTTTGCTTGTATCTCCCCCTGGGGATGTATATTGCCATAGGAGCTTCCTGTGATTACCTGTACTCATTTAAGAAGCAGCACACCTGAGAAAGCAGGACTACTTGATGTGTTTTCTCAGGATTTAAGAGCTGATGGTGGCTTCTGTCTTGTTTGGCTAAGGAGGCATTGATATTGGCTATGGTTCTACTGAGCCACCATTCCTCTGATTGACCTCACAACATAAAATTGTACAGGGAGGTCTTGTGATGTCCATTAAATATTGGGTCCACTTGGTCCAGATGACTTAATATGTCTCCACCCAAGCTCTTTTAAGTGTATTGAAAATTCCTCGATTTCGCAGCACTAGGAACAGCGATTCAGTCTGACTTTAATCCTCTCGTATGAAATGAATAATATTTATTTTAATTGTCGCTGTCCATGTATGGTCCTGTTACGCACAACTTGTTTTTAGGAAGTGCTTACAGTAACTTAAATCACTCAGCCATATAGAGGCACTTTTTAACGCTGTGCGTGCCCCTGGGACTTGAGGCACATTGCAAAGAAAACAGAGAGAAATATGTAAACTCTGTTTGTAAAAGGATCTGCGTGATTTACCTGCAGACAGAAGTGACTTTGTTTGGGTTAAAAGGAAGAGTTTGTTACAATATAATTTTTGGAATGTGTAGCACCCACTTCTAAAATCAAAACTGTTATGTTTTTACGTTTTCTAGCAACCTAGGCTAGATCAAGAAATTTTTGTTTTAAATATTTTTGTAAAGCATCAGGTTTAACACTGCGGAATGCTCTGCCTCATACAATGCACTATTGATGTTCAGCCCACTATGAAACCTTTTATAGCGCATTGTGAGAAAATACAAATTCATTAGCGCAATCATTTCTTAGACTCATAAAAATAAAATTGCTTACAATATTACCATTAATTTAACTTTCTAACTAAATTATTTTAAGAGCGATCTTGATAGCTAGAAATGGTTTGGGTAGTAGCAAAGTTTTCTTTGAATTTAGGAGCCAGGAACAAAAGCCTTTTTTTAGTTATTATAATTATTTTATTATTTTATATAGCGCTAGCAAATTCCTCAGCGCTGTACTCACACATTTAGTTAGCCATATTCTTACACACAGTTACCAACTCTCTGTCATACATATAATTAACTACTATCACAGCACATCAATCACCCTCATACACACAAACATACAATTACACATTCACTCACAATTTACACAAATAGACCCAAACATGTAACTAGCCCATGACAATGAGCAGCAGTGGGAGGAGAGGTAGAATACATAAATTAGCAATTGTGTATCAGAGGAACTTGTCAGTGGAGACTATTCATCTCTCCGGATTGGCAGGAAGAAATTTGAAAAGTAGGTCCAATTTTTGAGGTTCCTTAGTGACTTGGAACTCTCAATTTCTTGAACCCTGAGTTATCCTAATTTGAGTAGAGCTGGGTAATCCAGGGCCATTGGGGTTCTTCAAGACTGTTTGGGAGAAACTTTGGGAATCATCTTGAGCCCAGATTATTTTTGCATGATTTGAGCACCCTAATTTATGATTATTTAGAAAATAAGACATTGTATTATTTCACAGTACTCTATACTTGTAAGCTTTTCCAGTTTTCTAATTGCATTAGCAAAATATTTGGAAATTTAATAAATTATCAAGACCAGTAAAACTATGTTGATCCTTTTCCAATTGCGGTCATAACACACAAGCTGGTGGTGGATCATGGGTGCTGTAGTTCATCATGTTTACCTCCCACGACCAAACATTTGTTCCAGTCATACGTTTAAAACCACATGCTGTTAAATTAGAGGGCAATGAGTTCTCGAGATGTACCTATTCTTGACCATGTTTTGCCTGTCATTTTATGGCAGTCAGCTGATTGACTTATGGTATTGCTTAGCCTGTTGACCTTCCTTAAAATTAATTGAGTGCAAACAGATTGAGGAAATTGTTAATCAGCTTCAGGAAAGAATACAATGTAATCTATGTTACATAAAAAAATGATGACGTGTTAAGCTCTAATGGAACAGCTATTTTGTTTGTTTTTGAATTGAATGCATGATTTGCTTGCTATTTGAGTAAAATAGCTTTTCACGCTTGTACCTCCCAATGTGTGAGCATTGTTTTGTGGACAAACACATGGAAGAGGGCCTTTCCAAATCGGTTGTCCTTGACAGCGTGTGGGTGGCCAGCGAGTGTTGTTTCCATATGTGATCTTCATTTGTTTAAAAATTGAAGGCAAGATAAAGTATTGTTGAACAGACTGATGTCTGCGGGGACAATTTCCTTCTGATCCTTTTAAACACTAGACTAGACTCAATTAGTGAAATTACTGTAAGATTTGTCAATTCATTTTACCCTTCCAGAACGATATCTTCTTTTTACCCATAACCATTATATTTATTATGACAAATTCATTTGACAAAACATGACTACTGTGGACATCCAAAATTTAAGCAAAAATATGAAATAAAGAAAATATGGAGAATTCTTCTAAATTAGAACTGAAAAAATGTTTAAAGTCTGCAATTTTGTCTTCCCTTTTGCAAACATTTGCTAATTTTAAAGCAACTTACGGCTTCAGAGTACCATAAATAAAATGTAAAAAAAAAAAATAACATTGTGTTATATGATTGAGGCTAGTGATTCTCAAATCAAGACCTAGGAAAAAAAAAAAACCCAAACATAAGACCAACATTCCAGGCTTTTAAATAGTATGCAGCACAAACAGATCTAGTGTTACCAGATAACAATATAAAGTAACTCCTAATAGCATCATATTGATGAAAGAAGAGCCTTGATTGAATGGAGGGGAGCTTCCTATTCAACTATGACAGATTTATCATGTTATGCCGTATATAAAATGTCTATTATGTTTCTGCATAATTAAATCCATTGCTTTTGCTCCTTAAAGGGACACAAAGGCACTATGACTACCCCTGGCATTACTACTAAATAAGCTGTTAGCATAGGTTATAGCTCAATGAATTCTTTGCCTTTGTCTTATCTTCTTTCTTTTCAGCCTCCCAACCCCCCATACATTGTGTGTCACCGTAGGAGGAACCTATATTTACCCATGGCCATACAAGTTCTTGTACAGTATGTGAACACAAGTAATAACTTGTACAGTTCACGTGTAAAATTTTATGAGCATAAATGGGTCAAACTCGCTCCCATGCTCAGGTTTGATTGTTTGATTCATGGTAAAAGAACATTTAAGGTATTCTTAAAGCTACGCCATAGCTGCTCGTATACATTTGTGTTATGTCAATGATATAGCTGTTCCAAAAAAAAAGAACAAAATATATTTTTTTAATAACTATTGTGTTATGCAACATTATATGATTTTTAAATTTGACCCTTGTTGTGACTTGTTTTGCACTCATTTCTCAGTTACCATTAGTTGTTGCATAAGTTACCAGGAACTAAACTTCTGTGAACTTACATTTGGCCAGATCGAGACAGCAGTCCAAACTGCAATGTTTTATGAATAAACAAGCCTTGTGCTGGAAAGGGGCTATTAGCACAGATTGGAGGCCATGAACTATTTAGTCTCATCAGCACATTCCTCCATGAATGATATGTAAATGTGACCATGGATCATCATTTGGTTTGTATTCATAGCTCTATGTTGCCAATGTTAACATCCCCCCCCCCACCTCCCATCACCCTCCCCTCACCCTCTTTCACTCAAGCGGCCACATGACATAAGTCGGACATATTTTCTTTTGTTTAGCATGTAATTGCTGAAGATGTACTTGTCACAGGGAACATTAAATAATGAGTCATTTAAAAAAATTTTGGCAACTACATCAAGGTGCGGGGCCAGGTACCAGGACCGTATAATGAAAGGGAAATTTATTCATTTTTTATTTTTTTTATTTTACAAAATTACTGCCATTTACTTGAGTCTTAATGAAAACCTTGAAGAAAACTCTTTTAATTAAATAAAAATAGCAAGATCTATACTTAAAGAAAAGAGCTTGCCCAGACTTTCCTAAAAGTTAGGGGGGAAAAAATGGCAGACACACAGACACATGCAAAACTCACGCACACCGACACGTTTTGTCCATGTATGAGATTTAACATGTTAAGAGTCCCTTTAATCTTTAGAAACGTACCTTTAATTGGTTAAAATTCTGTTCTAGATCGTGTCTATGTATGAGATCAAAATGGTGTCTGTTACTGACATTATGAAATTGTAATTTAATTTTTGATGCATGTTGTGTCCAAAATCAATTTATCTAGTGTCTGGTTGTATAGTATTAGCACCCCCTCAGTTTTATAATGTAATTAATGAAAGGCAGATACCATCTCAGTTGGGAAGACTTTAATGTAATATTTTTTGATTCTTCTGCTAAAAGCTATAAGCATCCCATTTTGAGCCCTAGGAAGTAATAGATGTTTGTGTTGTCACAATTAGTATTCTGTGCTTGTGCTCTGTGTCCTTTCCTATGGCTCGTTTTGTTTGTTTTTAGTGTTAAGGATGTTATCTAGCTCAAATGTAGACACAGGGAAAATTTTGGAATTTGTTTTGCAAAGTGTTTTGTTTTTTTCCAAAACAAAATTAATGACTCTATGTAATGCAAATTACCTAGTGAAAGTTGCCTTTTTACTCACATGCTTGTGTGGTTTTTCACCACCCTTTTCACTCCCCGTTCCCCCTGTTGGCTAGAAGGCTCCATATCTGTCTTATCAGTGGTATATGAACTATTTTAGTTAAAGGGCCTCTCCAGATTGGAATATATAGCTAATATGTTAAACTTATTGAAAACAGTCAATTAAAAATACATTTGATTTTCTTGCATTTGCTGAAAATCCCTATTCTTTGCAGCTTCTGCAGTCAGCTCTCACTGCATCAAGAACACTTTTCTCTGGTCAAAATATTGCACTGTACAGGCACTATTTAAGGGATTTTTTTCAACATATTGGAGGGGTGATGGTCTATATATGTTCTCCTGGCACTTTGTTGCTGGTTATAATGGTACTGGGGTGTTTAACTCAAAAGGAACAAAGTTGGGGTGAATGCTCTCTGAAGGTGAAACTGCAGGGAAAAGAGTCTGTAACAGTAAAATTTGAACTGAATCTGCAGTGAGTGCCTTAACCAACAGAGCTATCTCACCAAAGTGAATTCCTGATTTTTAATAAAGACAGTGTGGACTTATTGCAGAATTCACAGTTGTAACTGACAAGATCTGCTATAACATGTTGTGGCCCATCTAAAGTTACAGAACTTGACTTGGGGTGTAACTGTATGTAAACAGCCTTCAAACCATGCCGCATTTGTCCTGTCCAGATTTTCGGTTCCTATCCCGCCGTCTAACCTTAAGTACCCTGGTATCCCACTTTTTGGGCCACCAGGGAACTGTCCCCAACAATCACAGCACAAGGGAATCAATTAATGTGTTATGATTACCTGAAACAGTGCTCCCTTCATTTCCTGCCCTCAGCAGGCCGGCAGAGCGTGAGGACCAAAAGCCTGTTACGATTCCGGAAGCCCTCTAGTGACTGATAGACAGCAACTGAGGGCAGACTTAGAACTGCAATGTAAACATTGCAGTTCTCTGAAACAACAATGTTTAACATTAGAGCACTAGGTGCAAAAGGGACACAGCACCCAGACCACTTCAATGAGCTGAAGTGGTCTGGGTGCCTACAGTGTCCCTTTAAGTAAATTTTGAACCCCCATGTTTACTTGTGGATGATAGATGGGAGAGGGCTGGCTACATTTGGCCTTGGGGGCAACAACAAATCAGCAAGTAAATAGCCCAATAAGCAAACTCCACTCCCTTAGTTAGTATTATAAGCTTTATACTAAGATTGCAAAAACTAGAATACAATAAAGGAATGCAGTCACATAATATTGCTTAGTTTTGTACTTTGAGGTCGCAGCCAACCGTTAATAATAATATAATTTTTAACTTTTTTATAGCGACAACATATTCTGCAACACTACAATATTTTATAAAAATGGAAACTGTAACAATAAATGAGACAATTACAAAATGTTACAGTAACAATAGGTTTATGAGGACCCTGCTCAAACGAGCTTACAGTTCTCTCTTTTGCTAGTCGTCTGAAGGGCAACTGCTCCCATGCCAGCCCTCTCCTTGTAACAGGCCAACTATTACCAACCATAGTCTTGTATTATTTTTTTTTTTTTATAAAGACCTCTCATAATAGAAGCTACAGCTGTCATTGCATGGTTAATAATTTAAAACATTACTGGCCATGTATTTGTTTAACTGGAAACGGATGCTTTTTTTTTAGACTCAGTAGGAAAATATAGACATATTGTATTTCCCTCTTTATTTGATAAACTACTGTGTACAATCCATTGAGAATACATGTGTAATGTAAAGAACAGGGGCTGCGGGTGGCATGGAAGGAGTTTTTTTTTTCAGTGCTTTGGTAAACAAGTCTGGTAATCTAGCAGCACCCACGCATTCTGTAGCTATGATGTAAACCTCATTTACATTGAATTATACTGTTCTCTTTTGCATTTGTTATTGGCTTGTGTGTAGCGGCAGCATTTGATCAAATTGCTCAAGAGTCCAGTATGAATTTCACCCTGTTATCATGATTTTCGATTCAACGTTTGCTGTGTACCCCATCTTAAAAGGACACCCTAGGTATCGACATTACTCTACGCTTTTTATCATGGTGACCTTATTCTGGGCATGTTACAGCTCATTCACTGATCATTACATGTCCGTTAGTCCACCCATTGTACAGCGCTATGGAATCTGATTGTGCTATATAGATAATAAAATAATAAAAATAATAATAATTTAATAGATAATGCAATAAAATATGCAGAAAACCCCCAAACATTCCTTTTAGGAATTTGTCCATCAGGGGATATATGGGATATGTAGTTCAGCCACGTTCACAGTTTCACTCATTAGTAGGTGAATGGACTTGATGTGTGCACACTGTACTCACAGTTTGATTTTTCTTAAAGAGCAACTATAATGTAAAATGCCAATCCCCTGCTTTCCATGTCAGAGGAAGCAGTCTTGTTATTGCAGAGACTTATTTGATTATAAGCCTCTATGTGCAGCGATACAGTGGCAGGACCTTATCCTGTGCAACGACAAAAGGGTGTTTTGATGCCTAGTGTCCCTTTAATTAAGAGATGGGCCTGCCATTTAACCAAATGTTATATTGTACTCACATGTGTTTGTTTGAGATAATTTATTTCAATGTATCCTGTAACACAGTCTCTAATTCATTGCCATTGAAAAGTGTATAGAATGAGTGTTTTGCTTTTACTGTTATGTGGGTTGCTAACCAGCTTAGCATTAGGAGTAAAATGGACGCACTAGCACATACCTAGCGCTTTTAGTTTTAATGCAAGACACATGTAAGCTGACTTGGAGGGACACATGTCCAGAAATGTAATCTAATATGATATAATAGTTAACAGGCAGGCTTAAACTGAAGCTCATATCAACATTTTGTTTAGATAATATTACTATAGCTGTGAAGAGAGTTTACTGTACACAAATGCTTGTCTACCCATAATGCAATGTTATGTTCCCCCGAAACACTGTGCATTGTGGAGGGCGTGCTATGCCTTATGGGTGCAACAAGTGCCACTACAATGCAGTCATCGAAGGAGCAGTGTTCACATTTGCGTATAATGTCCAGTATTCGCTGAAAATTTAGCAAATCAGGTTTTTCTTTTATTTGATAGTCCGACAAACAAGATCTTACTTTTTATTTCTTACTCTATTTAAAGGCAAAATAAACGCCTGCAAAATTAGTTTGACCTGTATTTTGATTTTTTTCTTTTCAAGAACTGCAACCCTCTGAGGTATTACCAGTTCTTTAGAGATTGACTCAATGCTGAATGTTTCCATTACAAGCGAGGGGAAGCCAGAGACATAGAGCACTAATTCTTCGAGACGGAATGTACGTCTTTGTTTCCATGGAAACAAGCTGGGAAATCCATGAGAAATCATTTCGCTCTGATTTTCCCTTATCAAGACGCCTTTCTTGTCTTATTGGGTTTTTGTTTTTTTTCTTTCTTCCCAGGATTTTCCAGTCTAGGAAATACATTTTATTTCCCACCAATAAAATGCCATAAATCTATTAATTAAAAGGGACCGGACAGTTCCCAGTAATCACAGTCATTGTGGGGTTTATAAATGATGTAAACCGAGGTATCTGTCTGTGAAATGGTTTCCTTACAGTTTAATTGATCATAGTATTTATGTTGCTCTGCAGAGGGGGCATAGCTCTGAATGCGGTGACTCAATTCTATCAAAGTGCTTTTTGTGTTGAAGGGGGTTCCCTGTTTGTTTCCATGGATACGAAGATGCATATCCTGTTTTCAATGGCATGTCTGCCTCTGATTAAACTTTTGTGGTTTCATTCACCACTAGTGGGAAAGCATTCAAACTCAATTGCTTCCTCTTTTGAGAGGCTCATGAGGACTTCAAAGCAACAGTGAAATTCTAATCAGTATGTTACAGTATTGATCAAATAGTTATTTTATTTTTTTCTTTGCTTTGCTACCATAAGCTAAAATTTTAAATAATTTGATTTGTACGTGAAAGAGCAGTATCTTTCCATTTTTTTTTTTTTTTTACATTTTAATAAGATACGAGCTAAATACTTTTTCCCAAACATATCGTTTGATAATTATTGAGCAAGTATTGTTCACTTTTTCCTTCACAAAAAAAAAAAAATACATATCGAGGTGAATGCACAGGATTCTTTTCAGGTAGTATTACTTTTATATTCACAAATTTATTTACATAACTTGCTAGAATGTCAGAAGTTTTGCATTTTTTTTTTAATCTATGTTTGTCCCACATATTGTATGTCACTAAAATATATATATGTATATTTATTTTTTTTTTACACATTTTTCAGACATTTTAAACATAGTAAGGGATACTATATTGTCCCTAAGATTTTTATGTCCCCAGTATTATAGTAGAAAATGAGTGAATAAATTGAAAATTAAATTTGTGCAAATTTACATAACTATAATAATCATCATAATTTTTAGATGGCAATCTATGCAGCAAACTGCTGTTATATCTTATGTTTAAATGCTATTCTATTTTATTAAACAGAAAAGAGCTTGGCAGGAAATTTATACAACTGCCATTTCCAATAGGTTATTTTCTTTGCTTGCTGAAAAGCTTTAGATCTAACTGTGGGCTTCATTCTATTATAAAAAACAAAGCAAAACATGCCTCTGGTATTTGAATAGCAATTTGGAATAGATGACAATGGGAGAAACGTTAGGTTTATTTCTTGTAATAGAATCCAGTTCTGAGAGCGAATTAAAGGAGCACTCTAGGCACCCAAACCACTTCATCTCTTCGCAAGTTGTCTGGGTGCAGTGTTCCTGTCGCCTTACCCCTGCAGCTGAAAACATTGCAGTTTTGAAGAACTTGCAACGCTTATGTTGCAGGTTTAAGACTGCTTCTAGGGCTGTCTATCAGACAGCCACGAGAGGGGCTTCCTGGCTTTTCACGTAGTTTAATTCAGTGAAACAACGATGTCCGGTGTCTTGCAAATTCAGTGATAGCATTGATTCAGTGATTTCCTGTGGAGAAGGCCTAATGCACGTGTGCTGCCTCTCTTCTGCACTCCCCAGCCAGCTCTCCCCTGCCCTGCCTGCAGAACCTATTAAGGCTGACTCCCAATTTGTGGAGTGCTAGCTATTGCTGTTAGTATTTTAGAGAGTTCCTCCAGTAGACAGAGGGAACTGCGCAAAAACCTGATGCTGACAGCACAACATCTTTAGATCTATACACAGATGTTGCTTGCACAACATTTTTACAAAATTATACATATAAGATGCCTCCAGTGAGTTCATGTGTACCTGGAAGGGTTTGCATTTGTTTTATCAAAAATTCTGCACATAAACTAGGTCACTGAAGAAACCATTGTGGCATAAAAAATAATATATTATACATTTAATTTAAAAAAATCAGTTTTGTTGATGATTTCCCACATTATTTATTGATCCTTTACAAGACTTCAGTTCGCAGACATTTAAGTATTAAATACCCACAACCATCCCAATTAAATAGTTGGCCTATTTCTGATGCACACAATAGAATTCCTACGTCTGCTCAGGAAACACCCCTATAGAAATAGACTGTCATAAACTAGGTCTAAGACCATACAGTCTCTTTTTGTTTTTTGACTTTAACAGAGCGCAGACAAATGTAGCACAACTAGCTAGCAAGTAAACAATAAGAATATATATAAATTGAAGAAACAAAATCGAGAATATTGAAAAAACCATGACAACAGTTTTAACATAAAATGAGTTGGAAAATTTAGAATTGACAGACACTGTTTTTGGTGCAATGCTTGTATCCACTACCAGTTTGTTTTTGTTTTTTTAAATGTTCTTAAAAAATGTCACCTAAGTAAAATTCCATTGATTGCACAATAATGTTATATTTTATTTACGTTTTGTCAAAAACTAAAACTTTTTTTTTTTTTGTGTTTTCAGGACTCGAGTAAAATTGGAGAGTTTGGAAGACGCTTATGTTCTGTCTGGGACTGATGACTCTCTTTCAGATAAGCATGGATGCCCTGCGTATGTAAGTCCAGAAATTCTAAACACAAATGGCAGCTACTCTGGAAAAGCTGCAGATGTCTGGAGTCTAGGTGTCATGCTTTATACAATGTTAGTTGGACGCTATCCGTTTCATGACATTGAACCTAGTTCTCTGTTCAGTAAAATACGTCGCGGGCAGTTTAACATTCCAGAGACATTATCCCCGAAGGCAAAATGCCTCATACGTAGCATACTTCGTCGAGAGCCATCAGAGAGGCTCACATCTCAAGAAATTCTGGACCATCCTTGGTTTTCAACAGATTTCAACACATTGAATTCTGGATATGGTGCTAAGGAAGTATCAGATCAACTGGTGCCTGATGTTAACATGGATGAAGATACGGACCCTTTTTTTAACTGAGCACAAAACTAGTTTCTTTTTGGTACTTGAGTAGAACGTGTCCACATGAAGGAGTCCTTCCTGAACGTATTATTCAAAATCTGTATTGTCCTAGAGTGGTAACATGTAAAAACTACGCTGGGCTCCTTGGTCCTGAGAAGGATAGTCTGTGAGGATCTACGTACACATGTAGCATCAAGGCTGCTATGACTTCTTGTTTGGAGAATATCGGCATGGATTCGTTGTAGCTTCTCCTGATATGAAGCCAAGGACACTGCACACACCCCTTTCAAGTGCAGCTTTGTCACTCCTGTTAAACAAAAAATTGTAAATGTTTTGCCTCGCACATCTTGGCATCGCACTGTTACATATTTTACTTCTGCCATTGATCAGGGAAGGTACAATTCGCTTACTTTTTACATTTTTATTTTTCTCAATATATGTTCATTCCCAAAAGTATATGGGGTAAATAAAAAAATAAAAATACATAGACCAAGTTAGATGCACTGACATGATAAAAAGGTGGGTGCTAAGGAAAATTTTAATTTCTTCTTCTTTTTTTTTTAAGCAATTTTTAATTTTATTTAATTCTAAACTACTTACTACTCTTTTCAGGATAATATATTTTAAAGGTTTGTTTCCATAAGGGGAAGTAGCTAGTTTAACAAGCTATTTTGAATTCTTTTTATTTGTTTGCTAGAGGAAGTTGTAATAATTCAAACTTCCAAATGTTTTATTGCTTTGCTAACGTGAGAACAATATTACCTTTGGAAAAATAAACAGGGTTTGATATACTGGTGACCAGATTTGCCATCATGCACTAAAGCCAGAAAGGTAATCGTGACAAGCTGCAGAACCATTTTAAAGAATAATTTTCAAGTTAACATCTCTTCATTTTGTTACAAAAACATTACATTTCTAATTATTGGAGATTATTCTTTTTTTTTTTTTTAACATACCATTTCAAGGGAAAATGTGTTTATAAGCTAACACTATCCTTTTTCATTTATCCCCCTAGCTCATGGATATTGCATTAAAATGCACCTTTTGTATTGTCGAGAATTGTATCTTATTTATTTTTAAAGAAAATGTCACAGTTGTGATGTATTAAGCCAGTACTTCAATTAAATTACGGGTTGACTTAAAATGACATGTTACATGCTGTACTTAACACATATATTATTTTTTCTTCTTTGTGTATTCAGGCACTTCTGTCCCTAAATATTTCATTTTTTTTTTTAAGCTTCTTATAAAATAAACTGGCATTTAATTTTCCCTCATCACTTCTATATTGCTCTATAATAAAATATCAGCATAAATATTTGTGTTTTACAGTACCTCAGTTGTTCTAATTATACTGTCTGTATCTGTTTTGTGAACTGGTCACGTTTTCTGGGTAGGTACATGTAGACTCTGTAAGTATGTAAATGTTACTTGAATTTGTGCTTAATTATAGTATGTGGCATGTGCGTACAGCTACTCGGCATTTGACTTTGGGACACTGTTTGCCTGCCCTTTGGGAAGTTTTGCTCAAATTCTTTTTCTTTTCTTTTTTTTAAATAATGACTCGTGTTTCAAAAGCTGTGCTGACCTTGATTCTATTTTGGTAACTAAAAGGAGTGATAATTTTACACTCAAAAGATGGTGCTGTGTCAAGAAGGTCTTTTATTATTTTAATTTTATTTTACAGGTTATTTTCCCCCCATCCAAACACCCACCCCATCCCCTCTCTGAAGTATATTTTAAGAGGAGTGACTGATGATAAAGTGCATGGTGGGGGTTTTCTGCCTCTGGTGCTTTGAATGTTATGTACTGGGTTTTAATGTTTTGTCCTAATCTCTTCAATAAATTGTGCATATTTAACTAAAACGCATACCACATTTTCCTTTGACTTATTTTATATAAAATATTATGCATATTCGTACCTAAACCCAGAAGCACAAATAAATTACATTTTTGTTGGTAGTCACGATTCTTTCTATAAAACATTTCTTTGACTTTGAGGTTGGTACATTGGTAGCGGTAAAAACCCACATAGCTCATAGTAAGGGTTACATTCAGAGGTTTAAAAAATATATTTTTTTTGCTATTTACTAACATGGCTTGCAGGCTGACTGCTTAGTATAACTCACTTCTAGCACATGTGTTTTTTTTTTTCTGGTGAAAGTCCTAGGTTTGCATGATGAAACATAGTAGAAATAGATAATTATAGTCACAACCATCTTAACTGTTTGTGGGTATAATGCTGCAATGCAAATAAATACACAGCTAGATTACACTGAAGTCTAAAATGAATCCTTTCTGACCGGAGAGAGCTCACACTCTCCCACTGCCCCACAAATAGGAATTAAAGAAACATAGACAGCTAAACAGCTTTAGCTTAATGAATGAGATGTGGTGCCATTTAGAAGTAAAATCAGTTTTGCTTCTGTTGATACAGAAGTCACATGCAGAAAGGTGTGCCTAGGGCTGCATAAACAAAGTGATTTAAAGGGATCCTATAGTGCCAGGAAAGCAAACCCATTTTCCTGGCACTATAGGTTAAATAGGTCCCCCCTACCGCAGGCTGAAGGGGTAAAAAAAAACCTTCAGCCACTTACCTGAATCCAGAGTCCTGAATCCATGTCCCTCGACGCTGGGTCAGGCTCTGCCCACGTCAGCCGGCGGGGGAGATTTACTGCGCATTATTCAATGCTTCTCCTATAGTGTCCCTTTAAATAAATTAAAAATTGTCAGGCGCCGAGACCCAGTGCTAAAAGTCAATCAGTACATGGCAAATATAATGATCAGGCTAGGGGTTTCTAAGGATGTTATATATACTGATATCACCATTATTCATGAGTACATGTTTGCCAAATGCATTATGCCTGGATATTACAACAACAAAACCGCAAACAAAAATGCACTTTTGCAGATATTACATTGTTTCTGAACTCACTTCAACCGCACTGGGCAGATCTTTTACAAAAGATGCTAAGAAAAGTTGCCCACAACATCCAATTCATTTGAAAAAAAATAAACAAATGACTGGAAGCTGCATGATGAGTTGACGTGAGTTGCTGCACTGCGCATGTGCAAGCTATATCCACTGCCTTCCATATGATGTCATAAATGCAAGGATAGTTTTTCCCGGTTAAAGTGCAGGTAAGAAGCAGAAAGTATATGTTGTTTTTTTTAAATTATTTTATATTTAAAGGGCTATTCCAACCCTGGCTGGCATGGCTTTCTCACCAAAAGAAATGCAAATAAATAAAATAAGGATTAATTTACCTGCGATCCTACATAGAGGCCAAGTTCTCCCTACTGCCCTGCAGGGTGAGGGATGTTATGGAGGATGGACTGGGGAGAGGACTTGGGCAGCATGGAGAGTGGCAACGCCAGTGATTGTCTGTCACAAGCATGCTATGCGTGCTGATAGTAGATGCCAAGTATGCACGTAATTGACAGAATCCATGCCCGAACTGTTATTCAAGGTTGGCTAAGGAGACTGCCAGAAATGGAGTTTCACCTTCAGCAGAAAGAGGCTTTAATTCTGTATGTGCAGTTTTTCAAACGGAGAGACTGCAAAAACAGAATCCAAATACCCAGTGGCGTACTACGGTGGTGGGGGGGGGGGTCTGCCCAGGGTGCCATCAAGTAGGGGGTGCCATGATCCTGGTCTGGAGGGGGATGTGTAAGCTGTGCCCCATGGCAGTTGGCGTGCCGGGTGGCCGGCACAGCTCACACATGCAGAGACTAGCAATTACCAGCTGAAAAGGCCACATGGAAGGAAAGTTAGGGCGGAGCTAATAAAAGTCAGGGGTGTCGCCAAACCAGGGGCGAGGCTTAACAAAGCCCTTACTCGCTGCTGTTACTGCTGCTCATGGAGGTGAAGCAAGAAGGAATCCCTGCTTCTCCAACTAACAGGCTCCAAGGAAGGACTACAGTGAATCCACTCCTCCAGCCCACACTGTCTGTAAGTAAGAGTGTGTATGTATGTGTGTGTGTGTGTGTGACTGACTGTCTGCCTGCCTGTAACTGTGTGTGTGTGTATGACTGCCTGTGGCTATGTGTGTGTGTGTAAGACTGTCTGCCTGCCTGTAACTGTGTGTATGTGAGACTGCCTGACTGTAACTGTGTGTGTGACTGTCTGCCTGCCTGCAACTGTGTGTGTGTAACTGTCTGCCCGTAAGTGTATGTGTGTGTTAAACTGCTTACCTGTAACTGTGTGTGTGTGTGACTGTCTGCCTGTAACCATGTGTGTGTACTGTGTGCTGCCTGTAACTGTGTGTGTGACTGTCTGCCTGCAACCAGGGCCGGTGCAAGGATTTCTGCCGCCCTAGGCAAAGATCTATTTTGCCACCCCCTCATGTCACTCACTTACTGACATACACTCACTCACTGACAGACACACACACAGACAATTACTGACAGATATACACTCACTCACTGACAGACACGCACACAAACACACATACAGGCAAACACACACACACAATCAAACGCTTCCCTGGTGTCCAGTGTGGGGCAGCTCCTCACTCCTCCAGCGCATTGTTTAGTATGCCAGGACCAGAATGACATCATATTCTGGCTCCCGGCATCACAGAGGGCGCGAAGGAGGAGTGAGAAGCTGCAAGAATAGCCTCCCTCGCTGCCTGGCTTCTCCGTCCCCCTCTCCTCTGGACGGTCACTGGCATTTGTTGGCAGAGCAGGCACCATCAATGTAAGCAGGTGCCTGCTCTGCCATACCGATTAAAGCACAGCTTCAGGGGCGCCCCGAGGTGGCCAGATGGCCACCCCCTGGCCCCCTGATAGAGGCCTCCTCTCGGCACCCCCACCTTCGGGCGCCTTGAGGATTGGCCCGGCGCTGGCTTAAGAGCCCATCACCCAGCACTGCGACCCCAGACAGGGGCAGGCAGCCCACCAGATAGCATCCCGGAGGGCACCCCCAACAGGCCGGTTCCCTAGGCAAATGCCTAGTTCTCCTAACGTTTGCGCCGGATCTGCCTGTGACTGCAGGTGTGTGTGTGTGTGACTGTCTACCTGTAACTGTGTGTGTGACTGGTTACGACTGTGTGTGACTACCTGTAACTGACTGTGTGTGCGCAACTCTCTGCCTATAACTGTGTGTGAGACTGTCTGCATGTGACTGTGTGATGTTGCCTGTAACCGTGTGTGTGACTGTCTGCCTGTGACTGTGTGATGTTGCCAGTGACTGCAACATCCAGTGACTGCGTGATGCTGCCTGTAACTGTGTGTGCGACTGCCCGTAACTGTGTGCATGACTGTCTGACTACGACTGTGTGTGACTACCTGTAACTGACTGTGTGTGTAACTGTCTGGTTACAACTGTGTGTGACTACCTGTAATTGAATGTGTGTAACTGTCTGCCTATAAGTGTGTGTGTGTGACTGTCTGCATGTGACTGTATGATGTTGCCTGTAACCGTGTATGTTACTGTCTGTATGTGACTGTGTGCGTGTGACTGCCTGTGACTGTGTGATGCTGCCTGTAACTGTGTGTGACTTTAACTGTGTTTGTGTGACTGTATGCCTCTAACTGTGTGTGAGACTTTCTGCCTGTAACTGTGTTTGTGGGGTGCAGGAATTTTGTATTGGAACAGGGGTCTTCTATAAGGGGGGCTGAGCAAGGGATTTGTGCAAGCGGTGTGCAGGGGTTTTGTAGAAGGGGGGCAGGACAGGGGTTTTGTAGGAGACGGGCAGGACAGGGTATGTGTAGAAGGAACTGATGAGTTTTACAAAGTTTACAAATTTGTGCAATATATATATATATATATATATATATATATAAAAAGAACGGGGGCTGCCAAACACAGGATCTGCCCTGGGTGCCAAATGCTCTAGGTACGCCCTTGCAAGTACCATGACCAAAACATAATGCTTCAAATTTTAATTTTAATTCGACCACATACTGTCACTTGCAAGCATGGTCACCATATAATCCTTGGAAATACAAATAGCATTGAAAGTTTTGCAAATAAAACAAAGGTAGGTCACCAAAGTTAAAAATGTGTACTTTGCGTTATTTAGAAAACTTTGATAAGTGGGATCTCATAATATATAACATAACCTTTATTGAAGACAATATTAAAAACATGAATTGAATGTGATTTTGTAGGTGTAAAATTAAAATCAACTGTCTCTTAGGAACAATTTATCTCCAACTTAAGGAAAATTAATGTAATTGTAGATTTAGTCTTTATAACTAAACAGATAACATTGCTATGGAAATTCTAATTGCCTCTTAAGTCCACAGGGAGGCTGAAGATATGTAAAAAGCACGTAATAAAACCAGCTGTATTACATAAAAAACCTTTCTTCACTAACGTCAGTTCCACACTTATGAGGATCTCAGAATAATCCACAAGGTAGATCATGGAAGGTGCATACTTTATTGCAGAAAAATGGTTAAAAACATGTCTGAAAAATAAGTGCAGACCTTAAAAGTGACAGGCAATCCAAAATCTTCAAACACATGTCAGTTAATGGAGATTCTATCTCCCTCGGGAGTCCAAGGATAAAAAAAATAAAAAATGCAATGATACAAAAATACAAAAGAGGAAAAACCTGCATCTGTCAGAAGGGGGGCACAAAAATATGAAAAAACTTCCAGTAACTCTGGATGCCTTTTGCGCCTGTCATGATGCTTTATCAACATATGTAAAAAGTAACAAAAGAGTCTGATAGGGAAGAGATTGTATCACTAAAAACAAGTTACTCGAAGCACCATTACCAATTCAGTGATTGTCATGTATGTGAAGCATTTTGTATAGCAAAAAGTAAGACCTTTGCTTCTGAAGGTGCAACTCCACCAGTTGCAACATAATAGGGCATCATCAGCTAGGCCGAAACAAGAGTTCTGGATTTGGGTAATGTCAGTTCTGTGCAAATATTGATGCACCACCACTCATTCTTTGGCATACAGTCCTCAACTGATGCTCCCAGTCAATGAATGAGCATCAGGATCAATAACCAGCGTCTGCAGCTCTGCTGAAGCCAAACGCCGAATACCTGCTTATAAAGG